GGCCTAAAGAAGCCTGACTGCAAAACTTTGGCCACTGTGCGCAGGCCAGCGAAATGCCCTCCTACATGGGACCCATGACATTCATTCAAGATCAGTGGGATCTCAGATTCCGCTACACAGCGACGGATTATCCCATCTGCGCCGATGTTGAACAAAAACGGTTCATCCCAAAAATAGTCCTTTGCCAAACTGAGCAATCTCTTCTTTTTCCTTTGTATAGTATGTGCTTGGAACTGTCCTGTAGTTAGAAAATTGGCCAGATCCGCAAACCATAGCTCATTCGCTTGCATCAGGAATAGCTTCTCATTTGGGAATTGTTTGTTGATTCCTGGAGATATGTCCTCTTCTTGCCTTAACTTACTGAGGTGATCTGCCACATGATTCTCTTTCCCCTTCTTATCCCTGATCTCTATGTCAAATTCTTGGAGCAACAGAACCCATCTGATCAAGCAGGCCTTTGTCTCATTCTTCTCCATCAAATACTTAATAGTTGCATGGTCAGTGTGAACAATGGTCTTCCTTCCGATAAGATATTGTCTAAATTTCTCGAAAGCGAAGACAATAGCTAGCAGCTCCTTCTCGGTTGTAGTGTAATTCTTTTGAGCGGAATCCAGTGATTTACTTGCATAATAGATGACATTCAACTTGGTTTCTACCCTTTATCCTAGTACAGCGCCGACGGCATAGTCGCTTGCATCCGTCATCAACTCGAATGGCTCACTCCACACTGGTGCTGAAATTATAGGAGCGGAGGTCAACTTCTCCTTCAATACTCGGAAAGCCTCCTCACACTCGCTTGACCAGTGAAATTGAGAATCCTTGCACAACAGTGATGTAAGTGGTTGCGTGATTTGACTGAAGCCCTTGATGAAACAACGGTAGAACCCCGCGTGTCCAAGGAAACTTCGCACTCCTTTCTCATTCAAGGGCGCTGGCATCTTTTCGATTACACTAACTTTTGATCTATCTACCTCAATACCGGCAGATGAGATCTTATGGCCTAAGACAATTCCTTCATTTACCATGAGATGACACTTTTCCCAGTTCAGCACGAGATCAATCTCAATGCAGCGGAGAAGTACTTTTTCCTGATTGTTTAGGCATCTGGAAAATGTCTTGCCATATACCGAGAAGTCATCCATGAATACTTCTATACAAAAGTCCAAGAGATCGCTGAAGATATGGTACATACATCGCTGGAAGGTAGCCGGAGCGTTGCAAAGCCCGAACGGCATCCTTCTGTAAGCGAAGGTCCTATATGGACAAGTAAATGTAGTCTTCTCACAGTCCTCCGGTTTTATGGGAATTTGATGATAGCCTGAGTAGCCATCGAGGAAACAATAGTATTCGTGACCTGCGAGCTTCTCAAGGCATTGATCAAGGAAGGGAAACGGGAAATGATCCTTCTTCGTGGCGGAATTCAATCTTCTGTAGTCGATGCAGACCCTCCATCCAGTGACAGGTCTTGTCATGAAGACCTTCCCCTCGTCGCTTGTTTGTTCGACAAAGCCTCCTTTCTTGGGAACCACTTGGATTGGGCTGACCCACTGGCTGCCACTGATAGGGTATATGACTCCTGCATCGAACAGCTTGATCACCTCATTCTTTACTACCTCTTGCATATTTTCATTTAGTCGCCGCTGAGGCTGTCTGCATGGCTTAGCGTCAGCGTCCAGCCTTATATGGTGCATGCACACCGCTGGGCTGATTCCTTTAATATATGTGATCTTCCATGCGAACGCCGCTTTTCTTCTTTTGAGAAGTGAGACGAGCTGAGCCTCTTGGTCCGGCAACAGTGAGACGGAGATTATCAGCGAGTAACACTCTTCCGGGCCAAGGAATATGTATTTGAGGTGTTCAAGTAATTTCTTCAGCTCATCCTTTGTGTTGGTGTCGCTGGCTGGTTCCCTCGTCGCTCGTTCAATGGATTCAGTGAGCGCTGGCGTGTCATCGCTTGCCTCTGCTGAATCCTCTGCAGCTTCCAGCTCCAGCGACCCGTTATCTGAAATTCCTTCCAGACTTTCAAGTGTAATAAAGCTCTCAAAAGTTGTTATTTCATTTAACTCATTGATAAAATCACAATTTACTTCCTGAGGTTGACGCAATGCTAAGTTCATGGAAAATGTGACTTTATCTCCACCGAACCTTAATGAGATTTCGCCTTCGGCGACATTTATCGTAGCTTGAGCGGTGGCAAGGAAATGTCTCCCTAAAATTATTGGAATTTCGCGATCCTTGGTCATTTCCATTATAATGAAATCTGCAGGGAAAATAAATTTGTATACTTGCATGAGTACATCACGAATGATTCCTTTAGGTAATCTTATTGATTTATCGGCAAGCTGAATTACAGTTCTGCATGCTTCTAATTCATAAAGCGAGAAGGGCATAAGATTGATATTTGCACCTAGATCACATAATGCCCTAATCGGCTCTAAATTTCCTATAGTACAAATAATAATGAAACTCCCAGGATCACTTAGTTTCTTTGGGAGGTCCTCCTTAAATACGGCGCTGCACACACTCTCCAGCTGCACCACTGCCGCTTCGTCAGGGAATGCCCGCTTTCGGTTGATTATATCTTTGATAAACTTAGCGTAATGTGGCATATGTGACAAAGCATTAGCAAACGGTATAGTAATTTGAAGACTACGAAAAGTGTGCACAAACTTCTCAAATTCCTTGGAGTTGTCCTTCTTCCAAAGTCGTGTGGGAAAGGGGGCTCGAGCCAAAGGCTGAGCGGGACCCTTTTCCTTCGGTTCAGGCACCCGAGCGGCTGGTATCGCTCGAGGTTGGGATGGGCCTTCCTCCTCGGTTGGAATCTGTATAAGTTTATCCTGCACAGTCACGTTAGCAACAATAGGGTAGGAGAATGATTAATACCTCTGTCTGGCAGCGGTGGTGATTGTGTCCGCTTCCCTCCCCTTGTTTTGATGGCCTTTGCTTGGTTCGGGATAGTCTCGACTGTCCTAGGCAACGTTCCTTTCTGCTTTAGCTTCATAGCTTCAACTATCTGCCCAACTTGTATTTTCAGCATTTTGATCGAGGCAGAAGTATTTCTTTGGAACTCCTAATTTGCTCGTTGTGTTCCTCCAGAGCTCCTCCAGACTCAGCGGTGCTTGGGCCGCTGTGGGAGGTTGAGCAAATGCAGGTGCCTGCTGCGGAAAGTGAGGGGCTTGAAAGTATTGCTGTTGATATGGATAATATCCCCCTTGATGATATTGTTGCGCAGCGAACTGTTGTGGCCTCTGAAATTGTTGCTGAGGATGCGGTCCAGCGGGGCCTTGAGCCTGTCCCTTTTGAAACTGCTGGAATTGAGGGGCATTTCTGCCAGCCATATAGTAGACCTCCGCTGGGTTCTGAGCCTCTTCAGTCGAGCACTCAGCAACCTGCGGACTTTGTTGGTCTTCAAAAGCTCTTGCCTCACATTCCACGGCCTCGTGCAACGCCTGTTTTCCTTTATTACGCAAGTCTTGCTTCATGAGCTTAGACAGCTTGCTTCGTGAGGAACGGAAGCAGGAACCTAGTATAGACCCCTCGATGGCTCGGGCCTGTTGGACTCTGGCCAACTTGACTAATTGGCCACCATCTTCTCTATTAAAGCCCTTGCTTCTAAGGCACAGCGCCCCATCAGCTAGCTTCCTACCGCTGCATCCAAAGACATCCTTAGTTCAGGAGTGATTCCTGAGTAGAAAATTTGCAGCTCCATGAAGTCCGGAATTTCATGATGAGGGCGGTTGCGGAGCAATTGTTTGAATTGGCTCCAGGCTTTGGGAAGCGTTTCATCACTCGCCATCTTGAAAGTGAGTATTTCATTCCTTTGGCGAATGGTCTTCGATACAGGATGGTATTTACTCACGAAGGCCTGAGATGCTTCCTTAAAAGAACCAGGAATGGGATAAAGGTTATCAAACCATTTCCTGACTTCTCCAGATAAAGAGAATGGAAACAGTATTAGTTTAGCGTCCTCCGTGATGCCGTGAGATTTAGAGGTGGCAGCGATCCTGTTAAAGTTCTGTAGATGTTCATAAGGGCTTTCGTTGAGCAGCCCATGGAATTGGCTCTGGCTCGCCAGGCTGACGAGCGCTGGTTTCACCTCATAATGGCGAGAGCCTCTGGGTGCAGAACTTGTAATTAATGTATGATTCATAAGGGACTGGTAGTGAACGTCCATAGGGACTTCAGCAAGCGGGCGATCAGCAGCCCTGTGTCCCTCAGCCCTCTGGTAAGGCTCAGCAGTAGGTGGTGGGGGAGTGATGGTAGCGGGTATCACAGCGGTGTTGGCAGCTTGAGCCGCTTAGGAAGCGATAAACGCCCGCTGCGCAGCTTGAGCTTTCTCCACCTGAGCGAGGTGCGCTTGCAGCCCCGCCATTCCCTGTTGAATGCTACTTAGGGCTCTCATTAGTCGCTCCTCAGTCGGCGTGAGCGCATGGGGAACGACAGTGGGGACCACAGTAGGGATGTGGAGCGGCAACTCCTACGAAGATGCAGATGTAGTAGAGTCGGAAGATGTCCCAGCGGCAGTTTGGAAAGCTGGGACGACAGTAGAAGGAAGCGGTGGCATTTTCTTGGTTTGCCATAAGTTGTTCTCGCATTTGCTCTCTGAACAGACGTCTCTGTGATCGAGCGGAAGGAGTAGGACTTGTGGGACGCTAAAAACGCTTCGAACCCCTACATAATGATAGCCACATCAAAGAAAAAGTTAGCTAAATTAGTAAAAATGCAAAAATTACTATTACAAAGAATTTAAAAGTAATTTATGGCGCTTCAAAAGATCCTCAACCAAAATACTTTTCATGAGTTTAAAATCCCCGGCAACGGCGCCAAATTATGATAACTAAAAAAAATGTGTGTGTGTTTACACAATTCACAGGGAATTCATATTCGAAAATCAATGAGTGGAAGTTTATAGAAAACGATCAGATATAGTAATTTTTGTGGTTGTAGACCCTGAGTAGTTATCACAATTATTTATACTCTTTTTACTGGTGAGTTTCCAGGTCGAACACAAGGATTTTAAGTCATGAATTTCAACGGTGAAAATCTTGAAGAAGCGACGAAAACAGCAGGAAGGGATCCAAAAGATAGGCTAAAGAAAACAGTAAATAAAGTGGTAAAAATAAAGTGAGCGGAAGCGAGCGAAGCGAGGGCGGAAGATGAAGTGCCAGCGGTGACCAGATGAACGGGACATAAGCAGAAGCGGGGACGAGATGAACAGGACGTGGATGAATGGCGGTTACCGAGTGAACGGGACATGAGCGAGCGGCACATTATATGTATATGTATTTATATATATATGGGCGACAGAGAGTGGAGGAGAGATGTTGGGTCTGAACTGTGCGTTACTAAATGGATAGATTTCCCTGTAGGCAATGAGCGAGCGATGCAAGTGTGTTATCGGAAATATATGTATTTTACGAAAGCGGTGAGAAGGAAGTAATGTAATTATATAAACTGAATATAAAGAATTCATAACACTGGAATTTTTGACCTTAAGGGATTTACAACAAGACTTCAATGACACCCAGATTCAAGACATTATAAGAAAGAATATTAGGGTTTCCATAAGGTTTTTCAGTTCTTCATATATAATATATAAGCAGAAGAATTCTTTTACCTTATCAAATAACTCTTCTTGGGGGATTCCATCCACAAACGATTCAATATTGCAAAAAATTTCAGAGATTTTCCCGCACTAGAAATCTCTGCGACCTAATAGACCACCGCCTATGCCCCGTTAATTTTCCCAAAATTTGCCTCATTAGTGGCTTTACCCTTCTGTTACCTCTTTTTAATCAAAATTGAATTCAGAACAGCAGTTAAACAGGTCGACAAGGCTCCCGCGTACTTAACTACATTGAACTACCTTGAGACCGCTTTTGGCGCATAACAAGGCTCAAATAATCAATTCTTCTCTAGCTCTAAACCAGTGAAATAAAACTCTCTAAATTCAAACTTTATTTAAGTGTGTAAAAAATTGTGGAAGAAATGGGGGTGAAGAATCGAATGATATTTCATTATCTACTACGAAAGCAGTAAAAGACTAGAGCTACAAGGCTGTAAACGAAAGTAGTGTAAAGACTTGGCCAAGGGAGGAGGGAAACCCCTACTCCCTTGGCATTCCTGTGGAGAACTCCCTTACAGGGTTAGAGCTCTCGGAGCAGTAAGACGACTTGCTTGCGAAAAGTAACTGCTAAGAGTATTTAAAATCGAAGTATCGATTCTTTTTTACATAAAGATATCTTACCCTATTTATAGTAGGTGAAACGGGACGGTTGCAATCAGTTGCTGAGCGGTTCCAACCGCTGGGCAGTTAGGCGGTTACTGGTAATTATTCTGTTGAAGCAGTTGCTGGCCATAACTCCCAGGGCACTTGCTTTGATTGCACTGAATTGTAAGGGCTCAAATCTTCCTCGTTTGCCGAAGAGCTGGAGGGCATCAGTGCAGCTAGGCTCGCTGGAAATGAAATGGTTGTACCGCTGCAGTTGGAACACTTAGTTGGAATCTGGTGATATTCTGCAGCGGTGGGCGTCTTGACTGTCGCTTGTAAGCGGGAGAGATTGTCGCTTGCTTGCGGGCGGTGAAGGCTGCCGCTTGCCTCTCATGCCTTAGTATTTTTCAGGAAGTATTCTGGGCGCTTGCGAGCGGGGGTGGCTGTCGCTTATGGCGTCTGCCTTAGCTTTTCTGGCACCAGACTACCGGTTAAAAAGGCAAAAATTGTTAATAATCTCAACAACGAATTCTGGATCATGCCAAGCGATATAGATCAATAATATATGCCATTAATGAATCATCGTGATGGTTCTTATACAGAAATTCGAGTAATACACAGTTTTGTAGAGTTAAGAATATGCTCCTATTTGGAGTTATCAGTAGCCATCCAAAAAACAATAATATTCATGGCCAGCTAACTTCTCAAGGCATTGATAAAGGAATGGGAGCGGGAAATGGTTTTTCTTTGTGGCGGTATTCAGCTTTGTGTAATCAATGCAAACCCTCGATCCAGTGACTGGCCTTGTCATGTAGACCTTCCCTTGTTCGTCTATCTGCTCGATGAAACCTTCTTTCTTAGGCACCTGGAAATCCACTTGCTATCGCTAATGGAATAGATAATACCTGCATAAAAAAGCTTGATTACCTTTTTCTTTACTAACTTTTGTATATTCTCGTTCAAGCGTCGCAGAGGCTGTCTAAATGGCTCGGCAATCAGAATAATGTGGTACATACATATCGTTGGGCTGATGCCTTTGATATCTGAAATTATCCATGGAAAAGCCGTCATTCTTCTTTTGAAGAGGGCCATAAGCTGTGCTTACTAGTCCAGAATTAGTGAGGCAGGTAAGTCTCCCCCGACCTCAGAAATAAATACTTTAGATGCTCCGACAGTTTTTTTAAGTCCTCTATAGGTGTAGACTCAGTCTCTGGCTCTCACTTGGCTTGTTCGATGGGCTCAATGTGGCTTGGAATTTCACCACTTGGCTCGTCTGAGTCCTCCAAAAGCTCCAGCTTGAGCGAGTCTTCATCTGAAATTTCTTGTATAAATTTCAGCGTTAATAAGTTCTCAAGAGTATTTTAATTCAAAGACATAATCATTATTCTCATCCTGTCGCTGGCTTAAAGCTTTCTTCATAGAGAACGTGACCTTGTCTCCACCAATGCTCAAGGTGATTTCGCCTTGGGCGACGTTGATATTAGCTCAATAATTATTGAAATTTCGCGATCCTCGCTCATTTCTATTATTATGAAATTTGCAGGGAAGGTAAATTTATTCACTTGCACCAGTACATCATGAATAATCCCTGTCGAAGTCTTATTGATTTTTCTACAACTTGAATTACAATACGACATGGCTAAACCTCATACAATCCTAATTTATTGAAAAATGAAAAAGGATGAGATTAATACTAACTCTTAATCACACAATGCCCTAATCGGTTTCGAATTTCCTATAGTACAAACAATAATAAAAATCCCAAGATCGGTTAGTTTATTCAAGACGTCCTCTGTGAACATAGCGCTGCACACACCCTTCAGCTGAACAGCTACATCCATTTCAGGAATGGTATATCTTTGATAAACTTAGCATAATGTAGCATATGTAGTAAAACATTAGCAAAAGGAATAGTGACTTTTAAGATTACAGAAAACATGCACAAACTTTTCAAACTCCTTGGAATTGTCCTTCTTTATGAAGCTCATGGAGAAGAGAGCTTTGGATATCACTTGGCTTGGCTTCTTCCTTAGTTGAGTTGGAGGTTAAACGACATCTGTTGCTCGTGGCTTAGATGGATTTACTTTCTCAGGCGGGGATTGAACATAGTCATCCTGTACAGGTAAATTATTTAAAGAAACAGGAGAAGGGAAACGGTCGGTACCTCTGTTTGGGAGCGGTGGTGATGTGGTGCGCTTCCCTGTCCTTGTCTCCACAACCTTGGCTTGATTCTGGATAATCTCAACAGTCCCAGACAATGTTCCCTTCTACTTCAGCTTGAGTGTCTCAGCAATTTGCCCAATCTACGTTTCAAACATCTTGATCGAGGCAGATGTGTTTCTCTAGTTCTCCTGATTTGCCCACTCAGAATTCCTTAAGATCTTCTCCAGACTCAGCGGTTGGCTGGCCGCTATTAGAGGCTGGGCAAACACAGGTGTCTGCTGCGGAAAGTAGGGGCCCTGAAAATATTGTTGCAGCTGATATTGATCGAGGTAGATGTGTTTCTCTCGTTCTCTTCTAGACTCAGCGGTTGGTTGGCCGCTGTTGGAGGCTGGGCAAAAACAGGTGCCTGTTGCGTAAAGTAGGGGGCCTGAAAATATTGTTGTGGCTGATAATATTCCCCTGGTGGTATTGTTGCCTAGAGAATTGTTGTGGCTGGTGGAATTGTGTTGAGAGTGAGGCCAACAGGCCTTTGGTGTTGAGCCAGCTGGAACTGCTACTGTTGAGGTTGACTGTTATTGGCCATATAGAAGACCTCATTTGGGGTCTGAGTTTGTTAAGCTGCATACTCAGCGGCCTGCGGTTGCTCAAACTAGTCTACATAAGCGCATTCCTTGCTTGCCTCGACTTCATTTATTATCTGTTTACCTTTATTGTTACCAGCTATCTCCTGCTTGACGAGCTTAGACAACTCCTTCATTTGGATAGAGAGGCACTCCATATTGGCATAATTAGAAACAGAAGCGGGGACCCTGTAGAAACCCTTGAATGGCGCTAGTCAATTGCTCTATGGCCAGCTAGTCTGGTTGGCGGCCATCCTTTCAATCAGCACCTTGCCTTGGCGCACAGACTCATCAGCGAGCTACCCACTATTGCATCCAGAGAAATTCTCGACTCTGGAGTAATCCAATATAGAAAAGCTGGAGCTCCATGAAATCAGGAATCTCATAGTGAGGGCAGTTACGGAACAACTGCTAGTAATGGGTCCAGGCCTTGGGCATGGTCTCGTCAGCTGCTATCTTAAAGTTTATAATCTCAGCCCGCTCACTGATGATTTTAGAAATAGGATGGTATTTGCTCACGAAAAATTGAGCAGCTTTCTTGAAAGATGGAGGAGGTGGACTGAGGGAGTCAAACCACTTCCTGGCTTCACCTGCTAGAGAAAAAGGAAACAATATTAGCTTGGCATCGTCCTCCGAGATACCATGTGACTTGGACTTAGCAGCGATCCTGTTGAAGTTTTTGTAGATGCTCGTACGGGCTTTTCTTTGAGTAGCCCATGAAACTGGTTATGGTTGGCTAACCCTATCAACGCCGTTTTCAGTTCATAGTTTTTAGATCCTCTGGGTGCCGTACTCATGATAAGGTCACATTGAGCAAGACCTCAGCAGCTGGGCAATCAACAACCCTGGACCCTGTGAATTGCCTTCGATGGGGCTCAGTAGTAGGTGGAAGATGAGTGTTGGTGGCGGGACGAGCAGCGGAGGCGTGAGCGGCTCGGGCCAGCTGGGCAGCAAGAAGTTGCGCTTGAGCAGCTTGGGCCTGCTCAACCTGTTGGATGTGCGCCGGCATACCAGCCATTCC